CGGGGCGGGCCGGGACTCGGGGGCCGGGACTCCGCCGCTCGCACGCCCTTGGGCCGCGGCCGGCGCCCGCTTCTCCCTTCCGCTTCCGACGCGCTGTCTGCTGAGCCGGTGGATGTGCGGCAATAACATGTCCGCCCCGCTGCCCGCCGTTGTGCCCGCCGCCCGCAAGGCCACCGCCGCGGTGAGTGGCGGCCACTGGAGCTCGGAGGGGCCCAGTGGGCCCGGCGCGGTCCTAGGCCCGGGATGGGGGCGGCCGGAGGGCGGGAGCGCCCGCCCCTGCCTGCCCGGGTGGGTACGTGCGGGTTGGTCGGCAGGCGGGCCTCGGTGCGGAGGCCCGGCCTGGGGACGCGCCCTGCCCCGGGGCCTCTGCATTGCGGTCACCGACCGGCCGGGATACCGGGCTGCGGACCCCTCGGGGGACGCGGCTGGACAGAGGGACCCGTGCCGCGGCTTGTGCGCGGATTGCGGGGAGGTGTGCCCCAGTGCTCTGCTTTGCACTCTTGTCCTCAGTGAAAGTTTAGGATTTAGTGTCCTTAAAAACCGGAAAGATGCTGGCCGTGGCTAGGAAACTTGGCTATGAGAATCTCAAACTTTTGCTCCCGAAAACCCTTTTATTGGGATGGGGAAAGAAAGTGTATATATGTGTGAAACTTTGGTGACTTGACAGAGACAAACTAGTTTTCTTAGAGCATGACCATTTGCATTTGAGGATGTCTTCGCGGGACCTCTTAAGTGTTAAAATCCCACGCTAATTAATTATCTTCAAGGATTAAAGGGAGAAGTAGCCGGGTGGGGTAGCTCCTGCTTGGGATCCTAGTACTAGGGAGGTTGAAGCTAGTGGGCTGCCAATTCCAGGCCAGCTGGGCTACCTAGCAAGACATTTTCTTAAAGAAAAGGAAAAAACAAACTCCAAAGGCTGATTCGTAATTTTGCCCTTTTAAAGTAAGATCAGTTTGCCTGTCAACAATTCTGTTGTAGGTAAAGACTTTTCATTCTACCTTCACCATACCCAGAGCTACAGCAAGTAACTGTTTAGTGTGGATTTTTTGGGGGAGGATTAAAAATTTTTTTTCTCCCTTCTCTTTTAGGTTATTTTCCTTCATGGACTGGGAGACACTGGGTAGGTGCCATTATTAATAACTCATGAAATAGAGTCATGTAACTTTGCTTACTGGTCAAAGGTTTATGTTTAAGAATGCTGAAAATGCATAAACAAAGATTGCTAATGGTATTTCTTTCGGTGTTAAGATAACAATCTTTTCTGCTTGAGAAACTCCCAGAATTTATTCCCCTATCTTGAATTTATAATTTTTCAATTTCTCTTTCTGGAACATTTTAAAATTGTAATCTACTCCTTGATTACTTGGGGGTATTGGATACCAGAGAAGAGTGGAATTTTTGTAGAGGGTATGCAGTACAGCTTTCCAGGGGAGTTAGAATTTCAGAGCAGTTGGAGAAGGACTAGTTGATCTCTCTCACCCCTCCCCCCTTACTCCCTTACTCTCTCTCTCTGCCCCCCTTCGCTCCCCCCCCTCCCTGTCTGAATGCTGTCCTTTGGGTTCCTTCTTGCTCAAGGCTAGCACTCTACCACTTGAGCCATTGTGACACTTCCAGCTTTTTCTTTATTGTAGACAAAAAAGTCTCATGGACTTTCCTGCTGGTGCTAGCTTCCAACCTTAATCCTCAGATCTCAGCCTCCTGAGTAGCTAGGATTACAGGTGTGAACCACGTGGTCTAGTGACACTGGATATTAGTTGATTGCTTAAGAGAAATGGTAGCAATTTAAGACATGCAGAGTTTTGGATTAGGTGATACATGAACAGAGAAGATAAGCTGAAAGTCAGAGGCAGAGGCTCATCAAGCATTTTATTTTACTTTTGAGTGCTGAGAATGAAACTCAGAATCTATGTGTTCTGGACAAACTTTTTACCATGGATCTACCACCCCAACCCCTTATCAAACAAATTTTGTGTACTGACTTTGGATTGTGATTTATTTTATTATTCTTTCAGTTATGGAGCATGAAGTCAAGGCCTGGGCAACGTCCCTGGGCTCTTTTGCTCAAGGCTAGCACTCTGCCACTTTGAGCCACTGCTCCACTTCTGGTCTTTGAGTGGGTAATTGGAGATAAGAGTCTTATGGGGGGGGGGCTGGGTATGTGGCTTAGTGGTAGACTGCCTGCCTAGCATGCGTGAAGCCCTCAGTACCACATAAACAGAAAAAGCCAGAAGTGGTGTTATGGCTCAAGTGCTAGCCTTGAGCAAAAGAAGCTCAGGAACAGTGCCCAGGCCCTGAGTTCAAATCCCAGGACTGGTTAAAAAAAATCTTATGGGGACTTTTTTGCCTCAGCTGGCTTTGAATTACAATATTCAGATCTCAGCTTCCTGAGTAGCTAGGATTATAGGCATGAGCCACTGGTACCTGGCTTGTGATTTATTTTTTACTCAAGATTTTTCATATTGAGAGGCTTTTACTTTGTATTTAAATTCGTGATTATGTTTGAAACTTACCTAAGTTTCGAATGTCCTTAAAAATAGCAGTTGGAAGAAACACAGAAGATAAATTTTAATAAAGCAGGGAAAACTTTATTGAAGATTATTTCAAATGAGGCATCCAATGGGGACAGGGTGGTGCAGGAAGGAGGGTCACTTGAACCTAGAATCAGCTCGGGCAACATTGCAAAATCTCAGAATGAAAGAATGGGTGTATGTATGTATGTATGAATGAATGAGACATGCAGCTAGATTAGTTGCCCTTTCCAGCTACTAACCTCAGGCTTCACCTTCTTAGCTTTGGAGATCAGATGAGATTAAGTGTTACGGCTCTTCACACAGGCTAGATGGGGTAGATCTATTTTTGTTTTTCCTAGAATGGTGGTTTCAACTTAGGGCTGAGGTTTGGAGGCAGGGCCTCAGATTTGCTCAACTTGATTGCTTCATTGGCATTGTGCCCGTTGAGCCGTGCCACTTGAGTCCAGCTTTTTGCTGGTTATTTTAGAGATAGAGTTTTGTAGATTTTTGTCCTGGATGGATGAACTCAGATTACAGCCTCATGAGTAGATAGAATTAGGTATGAACAACCAGCTTCTGGCATAGATCAGTTCTGAAGATTGATTTTTCATATTTTATGCCATAGTAAGACTAGTATGGAGTTTCAGAGAAACATTTTTGGACTTTGTCAGTTTATCTGATGAAAAGGACAGGTTTATTTTACAAAAAGGAGCCACTTAAATAGCAGAACCTCTGCTTTATTGCCAAACCCTTCTTAGTTCTGCAAGCCAGGGAGATGCTTGCTTACCTTATAACTTACCCAGTAAGAGAGCTTCTAGGCCTGAAGGACCAGTTCAAATAAAAAAAGCTTCAGTGTAGTCAGATTCTCTGTGGACTCCATGTAGCTAGATTCTGCAGTCTTGAAGTTAAGAGTGTAATTGTGAGGACAATCAAGATCATGACTTTTTTTTTTTTTTTGGTCAGTCGTGTGGCCTAAATTCTGAGCCTGGGCGCTGTCCCTCAGCTCTTCAGCTCAAGGCTAAAGCTCTACTACTAGAGCCACAGCACCACTTCCAGCCTTTTCTGCTTATTGGTGTTGAGGAATCGAACCGGGCCTCATGCATGCTACTCAAGCACTCTTACTACTGAGCCACCTTCCCAGCCCATGACTAAAGTGTAAACTTTAATCTCTGGTTGTGAACACACTGTGTGGGGTATCACTGTAGAAAAGCTTATTCTAGATTGGTTCCATGAATACATGATAAAACTCAACAAACCATTTTAACAAGTGACAGTTTAACATGGCCTTGGGTTTAATCCTCTCCCTAGTGACGCCCTCAAAAAAAAAGTTTTAGAAGCACATGTGATCAAAGGATAATTTATAATAAACTGTGAAGTTAATATTTGAGGAAATACATTTTAGGGTATAGTGTATGAGATCAGTTTTTCTTCTAAAATAAAAATACCTTTTCTTGTGTTTTGGAAAATAATTGTAAAACATTTCAAAATGCAATCATGCTTATAAAGCAAGTGACTTGAAATCCCAGAGCCCAAAGATAGCCTATTTATTTTACATTTAGCATTTAAGAAAGTTTTGTTTTGAAATATTTACAGATTCATAGATGAGCTGCAAAAAAATAGATTTCTTAGTATCCTTTACCTAGATTTACTAATCTCTGTATTTACTGAATATAATCTATGTTTGCAGTACCCTTTGAGGGTAAGTTGCATATGGGATTGCTTACTTTCAGAACACTTTAGTATGTATTTCCTGTATGCTATGTAACTCATGTAAGTTATATATAAATTGAATGCTTTATGATTATATAAGCACAGTCTTTTATATAACTACAGTTTTCAAACTCAGAACATTTAATATTATACACTGCATATGCAAACTTTGCTTGTGTGTTAGTACTATCCTTTCTAGCCATCCCATTACCTCTTGGGATTCAATTCCCCATCACACATTGAATTTAGTTGTCACATCTTTTTAATGTCTTTTCATGTGGCTGAATTTCCCAGGCAGAAATGTTGTTCATGACACTGGCATTTTTTTTCAGAGAACATCCTTGTCTTTAAGTTTATTTGATATTGACTCATGCTAGATGAATTTATACATGTTTGGTATGAATGTTATATAAATGCGGGGTCCTATTAATTGTGTCATATCAAGAGATGAATGATGTCATTTTTTTATTACTGGTGTTAACTTGGGTTGCTTGATTAAGGTAGTATCAGGGTTTTCTATTGCAGTTATTTTTCCTTTGTAATAGAGCAAGTTGTGGGGAGATACTTTGAGATTACATAAATTGTTCTTCATCAGACTTGCATCCAGTATTTTAAGCAACTCTTAATGATTATTGATTGAATCACTATTTGCTATGATGTCTTTTATTTGATAGACAAACTAGTTGTTTGCTCAGTATTTTGTACAGATTCAGATTTAGAGGATTATATTCCAGTACTGTTATGTTTTAATTTCATTTACTTTTAAAAACAACTTCAAATTTATATGAAAGTTACAGAAATAGCATTTATAGCTCCATGTACGTTTTTCAGAGTAACATTTTGGACTATTTATAAATAAGTTGCAGACACACTGCCTCATTACTCCTTGTTACTGAAGTGTATATTTTTACATATAAGGACAGATACTCCTGCATAATCACCACTTCTATTCACATTTTTTTTTTTGGTGAAAATACTGTACAGAGGGTTTACAATTACACAGGCAAGATAATGAGTACATTTCTTATCAAGCATTGTAGCCTCCTCCTTTGTTTCCCCTTCCCATCCTCCCCCCACCCCCCACTCAGTCCTCCCCCCCACCACCAAAGTTGTAAAGTTTGTTTTCGACATAACTTGTACATCTCATTGTTGCAATGGGTCCACCTGTATCCCTATTTCAATGATTTGTTTTTTTCCCTTTCCCTCCACAAATTATACTGACATCAAATACAGTGAAAGCAGGGGTTATACTGTGGGGGATGGACATACAAAGCAACAAAGAAATAATCTTATAAATGTGTTAGAAACAATCGCATGAAAGAAAAAAGACACTTGAATACATATCTTAGGGTTCATTTCCCTTACATCAACTTATCTGACCTTTTCTGCTTGACTCAGACACATACTAGTTATTGCAAATAAGGGAAACCATGGAACCTATGTTTCTTTGGGCCTGGCTTATTTCACGTAATATAATTTTTTCCAAGTCTTTCCATTTCCTAACAAATGGGGCAATGTCATTCTTTCTGATGGAGGCATAGAATTCCATTGTGTGTGTGTATATATATATATATATATATATATATATATATACCACATTTTCTTGATCCATTCATCTACTGAGGGGCATCTGGGTTGGTTTCATATCTTATAGTCATGCTGATAGCTTTAGTGTGGTTTTGTTTGTATTCACATTTTTTTTTTTGGGTCCGGTCGTGGGTCTTGAACTCTGGGCCTGGGCGCTGTCCCTCAGCTCTTCAGCCCAAGGCTAGCGCTCTACCACTTAAGCCACAGCGCCACTTCTGGCTTTTTTCTTTTTGCTTATTTGGTGCTGAGGAATCGAACCCAGGGCCTCAGGCATGCAAGGCAAGCGCTCTACCACTGAGCCACCTTCCTAGCC